AAAGATGTTGAATCTATGATGGAGATGAGTGGGAGGGCTTTGGCTAAGCTCACAAGGTTGCTATGTCAATGCAAATAGCCAAGAGAGAGAGCTAGAGCCGGCAATGGGGCTTAAATAGAGAGCTCCCACGAATAGAGCCGTTGGGCTCCTCACTACACTGAACACAGGGCGACCAGATGCTCCGGTCAGATTGACCGGACGTAGGACCCCAGCGTTCGGTCGCCCGATGCTTGCCATGTGTCATCAGCTTCAAATACTGATTGCTCGATCTCAATGGCCATCTATACATTTAAGTAGTGACCAGACGCGCTGCTCAAAGTGATCGAACACACCAACACCAGTGTCCGGTCGTTTCCAGTAAGGTACCAGAAGAAAAAAATCACGACCGGACGCATCCGATCACGCCCGACCAGACACACCCAGCGTCCGATCACTCATCGTCATCATACGTCATACTGACCGGACTCAGGCCCTGAGCGTCCAGTCATTTCTTGCGCCAGCATCCGGTCATGAGACCGAAACCACATGCTCACTGCTGCCACTGACCGGACGCGCTAGTCCTTCCGAGACCAGCGTTCGGTCACTTACAGTGACCACGTTCACCTAGGTTTAGCCACCGGACACGTCCGTTATACTCTGTGAAACCCTATCTTTTCTGTACAGGGCGCCGGTGGCACCATCGGACTATCCGCACTCTACGAGGGGGGACACTCTGCCGGTGAAGTTTCTTACCCTTGCTCAAATGTGCCAACCACCAAGTGTATCACCTTGTGCACATGTGTGTTAACATATTTTCACAAACATTTTCAAGGGTGTTAGCATTCCACTAGATCCTAAATGCATATGTAATGAGTTAGAGCATCTAGTGGCACTTTGATAACCGCATTTTGATATGAGTTTCACCCCTCTTAATAGTACGGCTATCGATCCTAAATGTGATCACACTCACTAAACGTCTCGATCACCAAAAATAAAAATGGCTCCTACCACTTATACCTTTGCCTTGAGCCTTTTGTTTTTCTCTTTCTTCTTTTCAAGTCCAAGCACTTGATCATCACCATGGCATCGCCATCATCATGTCATGATCTTCATTTGCTTCACCACTTGGAATGTGCTACCTATCTCATGATCACTTGATAAGCTAGGTTAGCACCTAGGGTTTCATCAATTCACCAAAACCAAACTAGAGCTTTCACTCGTGGCGTGCGATCTTTTTGCGGCACTTGGAGTCGTAGGCCGCTGTCCCACCGAAGATCATGAGGCAGCCATCTGTGGTCGGAAAGCCACCATCCTTCCCCTTGGCATCGTCTGCCGTTGGCTCAGGCTTTTTTCTCTGGTTCCCTTTGTCGGAGCCGTCAGATAGGAACCGCTTCATGAGGGCGTAGTCCTTGTATAGGTGCTTGACGGGGAAGGTGTGGTTCGGGCATGGGCCCTCGAGTAGCTTTCTCGAAGTGGTCGGGAGCATTCTTAGTGGGCGCTCGGCTACCTTTCCGCTCGGCAGTGGCCACGAGCGAGCCCCTGTGCTACTGCTCCTTCTTATTCTTGTTCGGACGGTTAGAGGGGCCTCGCCGACGTCCTCATCCCTCCTCGCTTTGCCTTTGGAGCAATCAAAAATTGCTCCGACTACCTCCTCGCTTGAGGTGTGGCTGGTCATGATGTCAAGGAGCTCCTTGGTGGTCCGAGGGCCCTTACGTCCCAGCTTGTGGACCTAGGACTCATAGGTGGTCCCAGATAGGAAGGCTCCGATGATGTCGGCTTCGACGACATTAGTCAACTCATTGCATTGCCTAGAGAAGCATCGGATATACTCACGGAGAGTCTCTCCAGACTTCTATCAGCAATTTTTTAGATCCTAGGGGTTCCCAGGGTGCGTGTAGGTGCCCTAGAAGTTTCCCACAAAGATCTCCTTAAAGTCCGCCCAACTTTGAATCTGGTTGGGCGAAAGGTGCACCAGCCATGTTCGACCGAATCGGCCAGGAATATGGGGAGGTTGTGGATAATGAAGTAATCACTATCCGTGCCACCAGCCTGACAAGCAAGCCGGTAGTCCTCGAGCCATAAGCCGGGGTTCGTCTCCTCGGAGTACGTCGTGACGTTGGTCGGCGGTCGATACCGCGGCGGGAAAGCCACATTGAGGATGTGCCGGCCGAATGCCTAGGGCCCCGGTAGATCAGGGCTCGGGCTCTGGTCTTCACCACTGTCATAGCATCCGCCGTGACGAGGATGGTAGCCGCGGCCAGCCTCCTCTCTATTGTCACCCCTTCCGCGCTGATGGGTGTCTAGGGTGTTGCATGAGTCACGATCGGGGCCGAGATGCTCATGCACCGGGACCATGGCAAGTCCCCCACCGTCGCGTGGCACCTGGTAGATGGACATGTCCCAACCATGTCGTCCGGAAGACACGCACTGACTGGCCTCAAGCTCGCGTCACCGAGATAGCGAGATTTCCGCCTGTTGCACTGCTGCTCGCTCGAGCAGCGTGCGGATCTCGCGGTGGCCCGACGGTCTTCGGGTGTCGCGGGCTTTGGGAGCCTTCAGAGTAGGGCTGCCGCGGCAGCTATGTTCTGATTTTCCCGGGCGAAGTGCGGGAGTCCTCTATCGTCCTCGATGATCCTCCGGTTTACGTCGCGGGCGATGGCGCGTGCGCGGCCACCATCGCCATGATGCTCAATCTCATGTTCGAGCTCCACGCGCTCTTGCTCCAACTGGAGGCGCGCATCTTTGAGCTCTTGATGCCGCGCCCTTAGCTGTTCCACCTGCATGCGGGGAAGGGCTCCCGCATTTTCTTCGACTTCATCATCGAAGTCGTTCAGTGGGGTAACCCCTCCCTCATGGACGCTTTCGACGCGTCCTTCAGGGGTACCTGCCATAAAATATTGTCACAAGGGGTGATGGCTCCCCCTACTGGAGTTAGAGTCAAAGATCGACTCTGAGTCTCCCGCGAGAAAGGTCATGGAAAGACTCCGCGACATAATCGGCCATTCCCATGAATTCGTCATCCATGGGAGGCGAGCACATGTGTTGTATCGCGAGGTGACCAACGGTCCTCGCGGCATTGCGCAGACTGAACGAGACTGCTGTTGGGGCGTCCCGGGTGAGATATTCTGGGGAGAGTGGCTCTCCTCCGGCAAGCTGCGTCATGACGTTGGCAAGGGAGAAGGTGAGGCAGCGCACATCCTCCCGAGATGGTCAAGGTCCCAGGAAGGTGTGGAGCTAATGCTCCAGCCTCTCGTAATCGAAGCCGAGGAGCTGGTCGGTTTCGAGGACACAGGCCTCCGGTGTGCGTAGCTGCAGCTTCTCAAGGGCCCTGACGGTTGCGTCAAGGCCGGTGGAGCGAAGAAGTTGGACGGGGCAAGAGCCCGCGCTAGCTCTTCCTCCATGGCGACGATGAAGTCCAGGCTCCCAAAGTGCACGTGCGCGCCCGAGACCTAGCTAACACCGTGGCTAGCCTTCTATGGCCTGTTGTGGACGACGAGACGCGCAAAAGGCCCCTACCTGGCGTGCCAACTGTCGGTGTTTCGAATCACCGCCTAGTAAATTTCTAGTTTGCGCGTCTGACCCAGATGGCTGTGCTCGGAGGACACGGGGATTTATACTGGTTCGGGCAGAACGTCCCTACGTCCAGTTTGCTGCTGCTCGTGTTACCGGCACTTGGTTTGTAATAGGGGTTATAGACAGGCGAGAGAGGGAGAAGGTCCCAAGTCTCTGGTGAAAAGAGTGAGTCTGGTTGAGCTCTTTGTCTACTACCGAGCGCCTAAGTCTTCCGCCGCTCAGACGTGTTAGATGTCTCTTCCCCCTCCCGTGGGGTGCCCTACTTCCCCTTTTATAGATGAAGGGGAAGATGCAGGTTACATCAGAGAGAGAGAGGGGGGGAGAAAGAGACGAGGAGAGGAAAGCTTCCAAGACCGCAACGTCTTCTGTCTCCTTTACGTGGGTCCCGCCGGCCCTGTAGATAACGATGGGGACGGCTCCACGTCGCGGCCCTGTTTGTCACTGACGCCGTACGCGGGCGTCGTCAGCCGGTCGTGGCGCTCCATTCCGTCCCAGCGGACGGTATGGCTCGTTGACGTCTCTGCCTAAGGTCGTACGGGTTGTAGGTAGTACAGCGCCGTCACGCCCGATGCTATTGGCGACGTGCGTCCTCAAACGTGGCCCGTCATGGCCGCAGGTCACGTCAAGACGTGCCTGCTCCCCTTCTGGCGTCAGAAGTTTGACCCTGACTTGTACTTTTCAGACCCGTAGTGGTTGGGGGCGGTACGGACCTCCGTCGGGCGAGGGGAAGCCCGCGCCCTCGGGGGTTGGATGAGGCGAAGCCCGCGCCCTCAGGGTCGGACGAGGCGGAGCCCGCGCCCTCGGGATCGAGCGAGGCGGAGTCCGCGCCCTCGGGGTCGGACGTGACGGGGCTCTCGCCCGAGAGGTCGGGCGAGACGGAGCCCGCGCCCTTGGGGTCGGGTGACCCGGATCCGGTATCCTTGAGGTTGGGGCAAGACGGAGCCCGTGTCCTCGGGGCCGGGCGAGACCAAGATACGTTCTTAACTATCCGAGAGAGTTAGCGTTTGCGGCTATTATCTTTCTTCTTCCGGGTATCCCTGATACTGATACCCGACACTACTCTCATGAGCAAAATCTACATAAAGAAAATCAAATGCCCTAGCCTTTATCTCTTTTACAACTTGGCCATACGAACATATTCCTGCTCCTCCAACACTTATGACATTGGCACTGTCGGAAGCCAACCGAAAGCTCAGTCCCTGCAAGTAGTATATATAGGTACTGTCGATGAATAAATAAAGGAACAAACATTGTGAAACAATGGAGTAATATTTCAGTCCTTTTTGTCAGGCTCGTTTGCGTGGGCCGAAATACCGGAGGATTCACGTTTGATGGGACACTAGTTTGAATTTAATAAGAATTTGGCCCATCTAGATGATTCAATTCATGGGCTCGGACTTCTCCCAGCCCCAACTTCGCAAAGCCGCAGCTCGGATCTCTCTCTCCCCATGGCCGCGGCGGCGCCGGAGGCTGCGGCCGACGTTGCGCCGGAGGCGACGCTGAGCGTCTACAAGGCGGCACGGCGCATCAAGCGGCTGGCGAGCACGCTGTACAACGCGCTGCGGAGCGTGGCGGAGGACGCGGCCTTCGTGGCGGAGGTCGCGGCGCTGTGGCCCTCGCTGCCGCTGGTGGCCAACCTCCGCTGCGGCCTCTGGTACGCCCCGCCCCGTGCCTTCGCTGCCACCTGCTACTTCAAGTCCACGGACGGCCACGCCGGGAACTGGTCCTTCTCCACTGCCCGCCTCAACCTCCACCTCGCCCTCCTCGCCGGTGCGTGCTGCTTCTCTCTTCTTATTATTCTTGGCGTACATCTTTTGGTCAGTTTGGTGGCTCTTGCTACTCCGTACTGGAAAAAATTGTTGGTGCCGTTACTCAAAACGAGAGACGGCTGATCCAGGTAGTTTTTACTTGGATTGAATTGTCAATTGGGGGTGCTTTCAACTTTACTAGTATAATACAATGTTTTTTTTTCCATGAAACGAAATAATTCTTCAAAAGATAATAATAAATTGTAAAGTTATATTACTGTTAAAGCTTTTCAGGAACCTTGAATCTGGGTTTAGCATATGTTCTGGTATTTCAGGAAACTTGAACCAGAATTTAGGATTTATGAGTGTAGTTTCGTTCCCTGTCCAAGAAGGCTGAGGAACTTTGCTTCCTCGGTTTCTCTATGCTCATAACACAAGCTTGGGGTGAACTGAAACACAAATACCCTAGGTAAACTATCCGGATATTTGAGTCAATGTGTTTGGAGATCACCCTTGTTTTGAGTGAATAGCACAAATATACCTGGAGAATGCAAAAGACCTTAACTTCTGAGTAATAGCTTGATTTAGCCTCAGTTTATTTGTTTGTTTCCTTTGAGCAGGGGAGAGAGGAGGGTGCATAATAGTTGATTCAACAAGGAGAGGGAAACGATTCCCTGATAGCATGTCAAAGACCATACCCATTTGGTGCTCTGTCCTGAACCGAGCGATTGAGAGGCATCGGTTGCGTGCTATCCGCAAAAGCGTCGAAGTGAATTATCAAGTGGTTGGTCATGCCTTTCTAATTCTAAATCCTGCTATAATTCTGCACTGTGAACATGTCATCAGAAGCCTCTTTTTGTTTACTGTATCCTTAGGTTAAGCTTAACTTTAGGAGCAAATGATGCGAGGAATAAGTAGTTTACTTGTTCAGCAATTCTTCACAATACTGTAACGAAGGCCAATAAATCTCAGATAAAAATTATAGTACTTTTTCTAGTAATTGATTCTTGGATTATGCAATGTTTATAACACAATCCCCGTTATATTTCTATCGTTTTTGTCTGAAGTAAGAATCATATGATTTCTTTGTCCACCTGTTCTCATAATATTTCACTTTTCGTTGTAGTCATCTACTCTGCTGAATGGAGATGCTGAAAATAACTCTGATTTATCTAATTGGGATAGCTCAGTGCACCTTCCTGTGTGGGTTCTAGGCACTGAGAAAAATGCTATAGAGGGGCGTATTGATGAATGGACAGACCAATTTGAATCATGTGGTGCAGATTTTCTTTCTCTTGCAATAGGATTGCAAAAGCCGCTACGTCCTCTATGGATCTCACAAAGGACACGCATATGGTTAAATGAAGTGCCGGAGCTTGAGTCATGGAATTTCACTCCTATTATTCTAATTTCTGCATCTGCATCTGATGCAGTTGCTACACAGAGAATGTCTTCAGAATTCAGCTGGCACTATATTCCCGGAGCAGGAGATGATGAAGAGAGTTGGGCACGTGGTCTAACTCCTACCTTATTCTGGAAGCATTCATACGACCTTCTTGATGCTGGACCAGATCATTGTAACCAGTTAGTTGCAGACATTGTTGAAAAAGATAGGGTTTATCGTTCACAGAGAGGTGAACATTGTCCTCAAATTACATCTAAGTCTCTGAAGAGCCTTGATGGTGCCAAATGTAATGATGTTCAGACAAGCGAGATGTGGGCTATGAACTTGGATCCTTGTACCAGTACAATGGATGCACAATGTTCTAATAATGGTCTTCCATTCTTTTGGATTGGAACATCGAACCTTGCAGTATCATCTACTTTCCAAGGTATGGTGATTAATTGGGCACTTGCAATTTTCTGTATAGCATGTTCTGTTGTCAGTTGTGTCATATGGAAATTTGCAAATATATGTCTAGATGATTACTTTTTTTATCTGCCATTCTTTGTAATTGTGTGGCAAGCAGTCACTTCCATATAATAATTCTGTACTTAATTTAGTTCTGTAAGGAAACTAAGCCTGCTATTTTGCTGGCAAAGAGCCTTCATATTTAATTCTTTATTCTGTTATATGGTAGTTATTTTGGTATGCCCTTTTGTTTAGTTGGAGATGCCTTAGTTGGTGTGGATTGCATACTGAACTGTGACAGCACGTCAAAGCTACCTTCTAATTCATCAGAAAATTCTTACCTTGAGCTATCTATTGTGGTAAGCGCACCTTTCTATGACCTTATGTGTTTTCACTTTATGTAAGGTTTCTTACATTACATCATGCTGATAATGTTGGTAGGGCTCAAAGGATGACCGATTTTCATTGATGAGAAACCTTCCAAAAGCAGTTGACTTTGCAAAGAGGAATTTGATTGCTGGGAGAAAAATCCTTGTGTGCTGTCAAAATGGTAAGTTAACATGGTTCATCTACCAAAAAGAAACAGTATTTCATCTATTTTTCTTGCACAGCAAATAAGAATGTCATGTGATTTCTTGCATTTCTGTCCTTGGTTAATTGAGCTCTGATTTATTGTTTTACTTCCCTTCAGGAGAAGATATAAGTATTTGTGTGGCCTTGGCAATATTGGCCTTGTTATTTGATGATAACGGTAAGCATAATAATGTTGCTTCTCTTGCGAAACTGCTACACAAGGATTTGATGCTCTTCCTAATTTGCATTAGTGCTTGAGATTATTAGTTCCCGCAGATGCACTTTTGTTATGCCATGTCAAGAAACATAATGATGCATGCTCTAGATTTGTTGATGAGTAGTTGTGCTCTCAGGTCCTACTTTCTTGTGTCTGTACTTTATTTATGTCAAGTATGGTTGCATCATGAATGAATGAGTAATAACTAATTGTTTCTTTCAAGGATGCTTTGACTATGGAAATTATTTTGTCAAAAGAGATGTCACAAAGTTGGAGATGAGGAAGAGGCTGGTATTCATCTGCAAATTTGCTGTAAATGCACGGCCATCTAGAGGAAACTTGAAACAGGTGTATGGTTTCCTCAGCAGTCAAAAGGAACAGCTGTCATGTTTGACATAGCTTCCTCTTGTTTGATGTAGATGAGGTATTAGCTCTGATCTGTTGCTTGAGTAATAGGTGTGGAGTATCATCTGGAGCTTCTGAGTTTGTCTTTCTCATAGTTTGTTGATCAGTTCGTGCATTGAGATCATGCCCAGAGGTCATGATCTTTGGTAGAGTCTCAACTCGAGGTTAATCAAAGACAAGCTTTGGTAGAGTGCGATTACAAAGAGAAGCTGATTGCTTGGATAACCTAGCGATGATTCGAGTATTATGAATCTGCGACAACAGATAGAAGAAACTAAGTTAAGGACATGATTCTTCTGATGGTGCCTTGCCAGATTGGAAAATCATTAGTGCTTAAGAGAATTCTGAGGGAAGTATTTAAAAAGATTGGTCCCAGGGAAATAATAGTGAGAAGTTATCTTATTGATGTTGCTGTCTTTTTATCGGCTAATCATGTTCAGTAACCATTTCTAATAGCTTTGTTTTAGCAACTGGACCAACTTTCAAATTGAAGTGCATGATAAAAAGCAAGCGGGCACTTGAAGAAAATGCATATCTTACAAAGTTTTCAATGATTTCAATTAATGACAAAATTTCTGTTGAGACATGTAAATAGTATCAGTAACAGTTTCATTTCCCTTCCACTTGTACTGATAGTCACAAAGTTCATTTCAGGACTATAATGAAAGGCTACAAATATTTTCGTGGGCTGCTGGAACTGGAACTACTATCCCACAATGTCATCGCACGTTTAAACACCGATTAGGGCACCCTCTGCAGTAGAAGCTAGTTACTGGCTCTATCTATGACAATTTACCAAATAATATTAACTTTTAACATATACTCCGTAGCTTATAATATGAAGTCTCAAATGATCATCTGTATGAGACTAAATCTTGATTAACATATAGTTTTTCTCTCTCTTCTATAAAAATGACATAATGTGTTTAGAGATATAACTTATAAGTAATCATTGAAGATGTTAGTAATTGAGTAGGCAATCAAGATCTTTTACGAGAGCAAGATGCTAACAGGTGCCATCTTCAGTCAAAGATACACATTTCACTTGTACTATCTTTGATGCATATTTTTACCACTTGTTTCTTCTAATATGTATTTTTAGAATCATTTAAATTTAAGAGATTTTTGCAAGCATTGTGAATACAAAATCTATACATATATCTTGCATGTTTCGAAACTAAACAGTAGAGTATTTATTGATGTTTATAGTTTATTTTATATTTAACCAGATATTTATCTCAAACGACATGTTTTTGTGTTGAGATGGAGTACCGTATATCAAGATACGTACATAGATCTCAATGACCAGTTGTGCAATGCGTTCCATCCCAGCTAAGCCAAGCCAAGCCGGGACAGCAAGTATAGACACAGCAGCAGCAGTATAGACCCAATCTTTTCCCTCAGGTCTCGAGGGATGTGTTGCTGAAGCTGAAGCTTGCAAGAACGTACTACATTAGGATGGACTTGTGATTGACTGATTGTAAGGTACTTCTCAAGATACAAAGGAGTTTTCGCCTTTAGTTCGTGAAATTTGGAAATTTGGATTATTTGTAGCACTTTCGTTTTTATGTGGCAATTAGTGTTTAATCATGGACTAATTATGCTCAAAACGTTCGTCTCGCAATTTCTAATCAAACTGTGTAATTAGTTTTTTTTTTCGTCTACGTTTAATGCTTCATACATATATCGCAAGATTCGATATAATAGGTATTGTAGTACTTTTTGGAAAAAAATTTCGCGAACTAAACAAAGGCCGGTAATGCTCGGCAAGTTGCAGACTACAGAACTTCTCAGAACACTGTGGGCCAAATTAAAGCTGTCACAGCAGTCACCGAGTTCAAATTCGTACAATCAACACTAAAAAAATGGCAAAAAAGTTAAGTTTTATGCTAACAATCATTAGCCATGTTCACTTCGCTGAAAAAACAAACTGAAATACTGTTCCAACTGATTTATTACGAGAAAAAAATAACTGAAAAAACTAAGCTGAAAAATACGAATTATAAGACAAGCCAACATACTAAGTGCAGCTTATTAAGCTAGCGTTACTCTCACTCATAAGCTGCTGCAAAACCTTATCGTTGGGATAAAGCTTTGATAACCAATTACTTTATTTGTATATCATTTACTTATGTAGAACAAATCTTAATCATAAGTATTTTGATACAAACCTAATAAGTAAAATACGTCCGGTTCGTTTGGGCTTCTTTGACTTATAAGTTGTATTTTTTCAGCTAAAAAACAGTATTTTCCTCTGACACCAAATCAGTTAACAGTATTTTCAGCTATGACTTATCAATCAAACAAGTTCAAACGAGAGCGATAAGCCACTGTTGACCCCAGTAGCTGTGTCAATGGCCAACCGTAAATGAGGTATTCAAACTATGGCCTTGTTTAGTTGCTCTCAACTTTTAACTTTGGCATTATGTAAAAAGAAGATTTTTTCCGTCACATCAAACTTGTGGTATATGTATGGAGTACTAAATGTAGATGAAATCAAAAACTAATTGCACAGTTAGGTTGTACTTTGCGAGACGAACGTTTTGAGTCTAATTAGTCAACGATTGGATAATTATTACCAAATACAAACGAAATACTACAGTATACTACAGTGCACCCAGCGAATCCAGCGGCGCAGAATTCGGCCAACTAACCAAGACCCAGTCCAGAGCAAAAGTCATGCATCCACAGTAGCTAATCAATCTCTCTCTCTTGATACCCAAATAGTAAATACGCTCGGCAGGCTCCAGCGCCAACGTGCAATGTCCAGTCTTTAAGCAGCCTATTCATTTGTTGATTTCAGTCAGCATAAATCAGCTAGTTAATAATATTTTTTTTAAAAAAAACAGCACCAACCAGTCTAACACCTACACCAACACCAACCACTGAAGGGCAACAGGGCCCCCGCCGATCGAAAAGCCTACAGACACGGCAGTAGCATGCAGTTGTACAGAAAGAGAGCCGAGGCGTGCTCCTATTAAATATTTAGATATATACATAAAATATTAAATATAGACTAATTATAAAATTAATTACATAACTTACAACTAATTTAGAAGACGAATCTTTTAAGCCTAATTAATTTATGATTTGACAATGTGGTGCTGCAATTAATATTTAATGATTTGTTTGGGACAATGTGGTGCAGCAATGAGTTTGTGAAGTACTCTTTAGGTGTTAAACTCCACCCTTTTCCCTTAATTAAACCGTTTGGCTTAAAAAGCGTGAAAAATTCATCTCGTAGAAAAAATTCATCTCGTAGAATACTAACAGATTATGTAATTTGTTTTTTTATTAGTATCCAGATACCTTATGCAACATTTTCTCGACAAAACTCCTAAATTTAAGTCACCGATCCAAACACGCAGCGAAGCCGAGCCCGAGCCCTATCCTTGCGTCGTCCATCGTCTCTGCTGCCGCGACACTGTTACCTCCTTGCCGCGAGCCGGTCTGTAGGGTTGTAGCTGCCGAGGCCGCGCCATGTGTGGCACTGCTCACCACGCTCGGTACCTGACCTGTATACATGCGCAACAGGCGCCATTAATGTACGTACACATTGGGACGCTGCCCTACATTTGGCCGAGGGAAAGAATGAACCAACGGTTGGCCGAAGCCCGTCGTGTGCGGAAACGGCGAGGTTCGGCTGCTCTGGTCCACTGATTCTACAGTAGTCGCTCTAGTACACTCATCAGTCATCGAGCATTTGTCTTACAGGCTGTACTGTTTCACTGGAGGAACAGTATTTCCTCTCGGTAGCCGTAGTCATATCTGGCTGATAAGTCACGGTTAAAAATATTGATCACTGATTTAAGGTAGAAGAAAAATCCTGTTTATTCGCTGGAAAAGTACGTTTGCTTTTCGGCCCAAGCAGCGCTCGAAGCAGCCCAATGGCCGGCGAGCCCAAGCAGCGCTGCTACTGCCAGTCCGCCAGAGCTAGCCCTGACGTGATTGATGGCCATGGCCCAGCAGTAGTGTGGTGCGCAACGAATGCGAGCGCAGGCGTCGCCATGCCGCGGGTACACATGTACTGTACTGTACTGCACTCGCGTCGCATGCACTGTACCCGACGTGCGTCAATCAAGTCAAAGCAACTCGACCTCTCAGGCTCTCTCTCACTCTGCATGCGCAACAGTGGACCGAAATTTTTTCAACTTCTTCTGCTTCGCGTGCAGTTCTTCATTAAATTTTTGCCAAGGCATGGGGTCGAAGGGTCGAAATATTTATAAGATAAAAAAAATAATTAATTATATACCACCGTAGTGCTTACGATATGCTATCCTTCTACTCACCACCTTCCACCTCGTTGCCTTCATCGGCTAGATAATTCTGATCAAATACAAATGAAACGGCGGCGGCACGTGCCGGCGTTCGGGGAGTGGAACTACTACTTTCTAACTCAATCTAATCGAGGCCTCACTCTCACTCTGCATGCGCAACAGTGGACCGAGAAATTTATGGCCTGGCAACTGGCATGCTGCCATGCCACTCTGCCTCTCGCGTGCAGTTCTTCCTTCCAGACGATGCATGCCAAGGCATGGGGTCGAAGGGTCGAAGCCGAGCGCGCATTTATAAGGGCAACGTGCCAAGGCATCCAGCGTCCACTGTCCTTCTCCCACCACCGTAGTGCTTCTCTGCTGCTGCTATCCTTCTACTCACCACCTTCCACCTCGTTGCCTTCGATCGGCTAGCTTCTTCTGAGGTCATGGAGAAGGCGAGGCGGCGGCACGTGCCGGCGTTCGGGGAGTGGAACTACTACTACTCCTCCTCGACGTCGTCCTCCCCAGACGCCGCCGGCGCCGCGGCAGCGGCCGAGTCCTGGTGGTACGCGCCGGAGCCCGAGGCCTGCAGCGACGTCTGGTTCAGGTACTCCCCGCCCCCGCGCCGTAGGCCGCCGGCGCCTAATAAGAAGGCGCGGAGGCCGGAGACCGCGGGCGGCGGAGCCGTCGTCGTCGCTGTAGCCGCGGAGCACAAGAAGGCGGCGGCGGCGCTGGCAGGTGCGGCGTGCGCCCCGGCCAAGGGCGCTGGCCGCAGGGTGGTGGTGGTGAGGCCCGTCGACGAGGACCTGTACCGGGTGCCGCCGCCGGACGACGACCATACCACTGTCTCCCACCTTCCAAGGCGGCGGGTACGTCGTACGTGACACATACTACTGTATAGTAGAGCCACGCAAAATAGCTCGCGTATTCTTGTTGCTATATCCTTCAGTTCTTGCAGACTACTGCAAAAATTTCCTCGCTTTCATTTGCAGAAGAGGGCGGCGAGGAGGAGCTTGTGGATGGGTTGCTTGGGCCTCAACTGCGTCGCCTGAAGCTTTTCATGTGTGCTTCCTCTCGTGTTCGTTGTTAGCTCCCTCTCACTGTACTGTATGCCATACTGCTATGGCAGAATGAAGACTAGAGGAGCAGTACTAGCAGCTTAGCAGAAGCCAGTGGTTGTGCCAGCCAAGGAATAGATTACCAGTGAAATTCGACGGGGTCGGATTGCAGCATCTTGTCATGCCATGGCATGGTACCAGTGAATAGAGCCATCTTGCTAGTAGCTCCTGGTCTTTTTGAACTGACAAATATATTGCTCCTGATCAATTTGTTTAATTTGCTGCAAATGCTGCGTTTCTATCAATGGGTTTATTTCAATCCGCACTACCCGGAAGTTTGTGTCAAACTCATCACTCCAGCGACTACGAGCCTTCCCCACTTGAATGCATGCCAAGTGACGCGCTTTGAGCTAACCGCACATTTTAGGAACGGTCTTTACTGTTCATGCATGACATTCTGTACATGTGCTTTGGGGTTTGGGCAACGATTTATGAACGATCCATGTTTAGGCCGTGTTTAGATTGTAAATTTTTACAATCTGGACACTGTAGCACGTTTCGTTTGTATTTGATAAACTTCGTCGATCATGGACTAATTAAACTTAAAAGATCCGTCTCGTGATTTACAACCAAACTATGTAATTAGTTATTTTTTTATCTATATTTAATGTTTCATACATACGTCTAAAAATTGATGTGATGAAGAAAGAGTGAAAAAACTTAGAATTTGAAGATAATCTAAACAAGGCCTCAACAAACGTTCCTAAAAGGCGACGGGTCACAGAACAAACGTTTCGATTCAATTCGTGTCCCCGCGTGATGTTTGATACTAATAAAAAAATAAATTATAGATCCGTTAGTAAATTATGAGATAAATTTATTAAACCTAATTAATCCGTGGCATCATATATTTTACTGTAGCAGTACATTATCAAATTATGGATATCGTCTCGTAAATTAATCTCAATCTGTGTATTTAATTTCATAATTAATCTATATTATATATATATATATTTGAGTCAGCGACTAAAATTTAGTGCGTGCAACCAGGGACATCCAGATGGCCCCGGAGCTGTGTTTCTTCTCTGCGAACTGGCCGGCTCCATTGATCTAGGTACTCCTCTGTCCCGAAAGCATATAAACAGTATCTTTTATAACAGTATTTTTCATCTCATAATAAATCAGCTAAAATAATATTTTGACTTATTCAACCAGCCAGCTAAACACTCCCTGTGGGAAGTGTCTGGACCACTCATTTGCTTGCTCGTTTCCACTGGAGTCCTGTCCAGCGGCATGCTGCTCCATCTACACCTGCACTGTCAATCACTGCACTACATTTTTTAGGGGAAAAATGTAATTTTACAGCTACAGTATTTTACACATTTTAATCTTAAACGTGCTTTTATTACTGGACGGTGGGAGTACACCGGTCCATTTTGGCAGAGCTCTCTGCGTGGCCTGTCGCTGGCACAGCCAGTACAAATGGATCCAATGGCAATGGGCCTGTTCGTTTATTTATTTATTTTGCAGTGGAAACGGCTGCGGTTTGCAAGTTTTTTCACTTTCTCTATCACAAAAAATTTTGAACACATATATAGAGTATTAAATGTAGATAAAAAAATAACTAATTATACAGTTTAATTGTAAATTACGAGACGAATCTTTTGAGCCTAGTTAGACCATGATTAGACAATAATTATCAAATACAAACAAAAATGCTACCGTACTAAATACTTATTCCTAACCCCAATCTAAAAAAAAAAGCCCAGATATACCGTAGCTCTATTGTTGGGTTACTGCAGCAGCACTGCCATAGCCAGAATCAAAGTCTGACTAAAAATTACCGTTAGCTGTTAGCTGATTTACTATAAAAGAAAAATATTATATCATGACTAATAAATTAGGCTGATAAGTTCAAGCGAACAAGGTTTCAGGAACTAATTTTTAGTCCCCGTCACATCGGATATTTGGACACTAATTTAGAGTATTAAACATAGACTAGACTAATTACAAAATTAATTACGTATTAAATATAAACTAATTACATAAATAGAGACTAATTTGCGAGACGAATTTGGGCAATTAGTTTTATAATTAGCTTAAGTTTAGTCCTCATAATTAGAGAAAGTATAATAATAGACTATAAGCAGGTTGAATACTGAGGTAAAAAAGAGAGGAAAGAAAGAGAGAAGATGCGAGATATAAGTTTAAAACCAAAGAGACAAGTGGTCATATATTAAATGTAAAGATATAACCACTATACGAGTATGCTAAAAGGTAAAATATAAGCATTCATACAATCAGCGACCAGCTATATTATTAGCCTACCCGTAGCATTCGAGGGACCAGCTGTATTATTAGCCTTACTCATAGCATTCGAACGTCGTCCTGTGACGGGGACAAACTTTAGTTGCTCCATCAAACACTCAGTGTAACAATGGTTGCATTTTGTTGTCTCGCTGGCCTTTGGTCGATTGACACCATACCAACAACACTTTGCGAGATCACTTGTAAATTTTTGTAAGAAAACACGTCATTAGTGAGAAAAATTATATATATACAGTACATATAAATTTTGTAAAAAAACGCCTTAAAGATGAACAGCCTTAGAGGGAGCAGCAGACACTTTTCATCAGAAGTCTTGCATCCAACTTCTCATTAGCAGACACAAAATATAAATCGAAATAATAACCAAGTATATATTCTAGTGTCTGACAGTACCTCAAAACTGAACAAGGCACAGCGAGAAACTCAACGTAATGGGTAGCTGGCAAAATCCCCTCTACTTCTAATTAAACACTCATTGCCAGAAGGAACCCACCCTAAACAAACCGAAGCCAAATAAGATGAAGATGGCAAGCAAGCAACTTCCCCCTTACTTCTTCTTGGCATCTCCAGCCTTTGTCTGCAAAAATTGTGCAGCAAACATAATTGAGTATGTGGTTGGCTACCAGAACAATGGGAATGCAAGTAGCAACAGTAGCAATTGTTGACTGGTACTCACCTTCTTCACACCACGGATTTTCTTTGCCCTGTTCTTACGTTCCTTCATCTGCTTTCGTGACTTCTCTACCTTAGTAGCAAGGCCGTTCTGTCAAGGAAAAACAGAATATTAGCACCAACAAACAGGTGTATCAAACACAGGCTAACAGCAACAATAAATGGCACCATCTGAAGGTTCAAGACAGTCAAACACTAGCGAGCTTAAATACAACATGTGCAGTAATTCTGCTACATGAAAATGATCACGGAGAATCTGCCACCATTCTCTGTTTCAACAATAATACACATGGCTTTTTGCTCCGATGTTAGCATAATAGTAGGTGTCGGAATTTTTCAATGATGAAGGTCAAAAGGATTGCTTATGGCGGTTGGGTAGTCATTTGAGCTTTGCTAGATCATTAAAACAAGGAAAATGAACACCGATCAGAGGCTAACCCAGACCATTCAGGTGTAGTTTGGTGTTCAGTTATACAACAGTGGGATGTTCTCTTCTACAACAGCAGGATAGGTAAGACATCCTTGGTTCACAAGAATTTTGCTTGGTTCGAGATATAGAAAGATAAATATATGAAAGAAATATCTAGTCAAAGCTTGAATGAAAATATCTATACAATGTGCACTAAAATAATGTAGCAATAACGGCTGTTACAACAAGCTTATCATCCAAAAAAAATGTGTCCGAGATACCATCAAATTGGGTGACATACAAAATTACATGACTTTGCATCAATGCCCAGATGAAAACCATTTTAACGAGGCACAATTACATGTTAGGACAAGCACTCAACCAAGTAAGCTACTCCCTCCATTCCAAACTACAAGACATTTTGAGTTTTCTAGATACATAGTAAAAGCAATGTATCTAGAAAAGCCAAAACGTCTTATAATTTGGAACGGAGGGGGTAAAAGCTAACACATCAGTATATATACCTATAGCAGTTTTAGGCTTCTATGATGTTAAATGCATCCACTAAACCAGCAGAGCCTTAAGACAGAAGATTCAACCATTCAGGGAAAAGCCCAAACTACCATAGCAGGGCAACCTCAGCCGATACTAGGGAGTAGAGACACTTAGGGTGTTTGGTTTGAGGAATGAGTAAGCCCATCATCTTCTCCCTACTCACCTTTTGGTTTCGTTTGCAGAATGGAACAGGTTGATCCATCGTCACCTTATTTGTCACAAGCTAATTATTAATATAGTACAAACCGAACACCCTAGCCCATTTCTGTAAATAAGATCACAACTAGCCATAACGTAACCTTGGTCTAAGCTCGTACAATTCTGACACTGAAAGAGCAGCTAAAAGTCAGGCAAATCAACCACCCATTCCTACATCAGGACACGTAAACAACGAAATCAAGCGCGGAACTCGATTACACTATGACATAGCAAGGCAATAATAGCATACCCTGATGAGGCGGTACTTGGGCTCGAACTTCTTGGCAGCCTCGAGGTTGTCGTAGATGAGTCCGAAGCCGGTGGACTTGCCGCCTCCGAAGTGGGTTCGGAACTTGAAGACGAAGATGCAGTTGGAGTCCTTCACCTCGTAAAGCTTCGCCAGCCTCTCTTTCAGCTCCGCCTGCACGAAAGACATACCGTCAAGATCCCGCCGAACATCACCGAGAAACGAGGAGAGGACGAGATCCCCTACCTTGGAGACGTTGGCGCGGCCGGGGTGGATGACCTCGAGCACGAACTGCTTGCGGGACAGGAGGCGGTTGGTCATGAACTTGCGCGTGCGGAGGGTGACCGCCGCAGTGGCCTTCGAATCCGCCATGATTGCTGCGGCTGTGCGGCGGCGGCGGCGGCGGAGCAGGAGGGCGGGAGGGGAGGCGGCGGCGCTGGAAGAGAAGTGTTTGCGTGAGAGGCTATATGTAGTGAAAACCCTAGGGGGCTATTTTGTTTGGCTCATGTGGGCTGAATCAGAACGCCCACCCTTCGATCGTTTTATGGTTTTGGGCCGAAAAGTCAATGCCAACTTACTAAAGGCCCATTTAGTAGAAGAAACTGTATAGCTTATATCTATACATATACCTAATAATAATAAAGAGGCAAAATTTCTCTCCACCTATTTTTTAGGTCCGGGCCATCTCTTAACTAACTTTGCGAATGTGGAAAACCGCCTATAGCCTTTCTCTCTGTGTAACTAGAAATCATAATCCAATTAGATCTCTCCGATTTTGGGTGAATAGGAATCTTAATATAAATAGAAAAAATATAATAATATGGACAATTAGGAATCTTAATCCAATTAGGAATCTTAATCCATACATACATATAGATGAGCTGCTACCACGCTAGCACATATATGTGATATACATATCCATACATAATATTAAAACAAAACATGTTTAGGTAGTTTCTCATTCTCTATATGAACTAGAGTATTGTGTGATTGTGTCTCAATACACAGTTCTAAAATAAATTAGAGTGTATAACGTGATCACTGATTAAAATATTTAAGTCTCTTGTGCACATTGAGTAAGTATAGCGCAAGTTCGGACGGAGTATGAAAGTCCAGCCTCACTGTCCGAGTCCAAGATAAATTGAAACGCATGATCATTAGATAAATGTCGAAGCCATAAGTTCCCATACGAGTTATTTAAGTATGCCATTCAGATATTATAAAATGAATTGAAACACAAGACTAATCTAAAGTCTCAAGTTATTCTTATAACTGCATAAGTCTGTACGTCTCGTTGCAATGCACCGACATATTTGCTAGTAGTAATAAAAACGGTAATGCTACGATATGGGCCTTCGTCCGCCGGGACGCTCCTTGATGGGCCGTGTCACCAGCCCAACTATCCCCTTCCGTCCGCCTCGGGAGTTTCTAAAAAAAAATCCTCTCATCTACTTGTTCCTATCTGCTCTAGGGGCAATGCCCACCATCGCCGCAAGCTAAGGGAAGCTAGCAAATCCGAACAAGCGCTACTCGGTGGGGGCTGGCATCTCAGAGCTGGTGCTCCCGAAGCAGCTGCGCCACCTCCTCCTGCTACTGGGATACATCCGCTGCTCCCTCCTCTGGGTGTTCGGTGTCGTGGGCCTCGGTGACCTACTTGATCTCAGGGCGACGCGCGGCTACCCTCTCCCGATTGTGCGGCCGCTGCCTCCCAGTTGTGTCACGGAGCCGCTGCCGCCAACCCTCCTCCTACAAGCATCGCGCGGGTTGCTGCTCCGACACATCGACGAGCCTCCATTCTCCCAAACAGCAAGGAGATGTTGTGTTAAAAGCACAAGTTGCAAATGTACGTTTTAAGTGTTTCAAAGGTATGTTGCAAGTGTTTCATACGGATGTTGCAAAAGTAGATCGGAGATATTGCATATGTTGCAATGGTTGTACACGTATATTGCAAGCGTCCGTCCTCAGCGTTTCATCAATGTTTTCAGACGAATGTTGCAAGTGTGTTTATCTAGATATTGCATATGTTTCACACATATCTTGCAAATGTTTTTATCTGGATATTGCGGGCGTTTGCAATAGTTTTCAAGCATTTTTCAGGTGTTTTTTTGCAAGTGTTTTAGAAGCATATTTCAAGTGTTTCATCTGTCTTCAGACATATGTTGCAAGTGTTGTATCTGAATGTTTGAAAAGTAGATAGGGTGTTGCATTGTCACCTGCCTGCTACAGCTACTAGACGGGGCGCAGACACCATGTGGGACCAGGCGGGGGCGCTGACACCGCGTGGGGTCGGGTGGGGCGCAGTCGCCATGTTGGGTTGGCGTGGGGGCGGAGTGTAGGCGTGGAAACAGGATGCATACGTGGGTGTCTAGGACACGTCTGTCCGAATATCCGGGCACTAGCAGTACTGTAATATAAAATCATAACAGCCTAGTTATTTCTACTACGTTTAGTTGGGCTGTCAGCTTGTGCAAGAGCTTAGGACAAAATCCTATTCCACTGGACCTCGAATCCGAAAACCCCGAGTATTTCTTGTGGTCTTCCCAGTCCCAAGCATTGTTATGGCCTTGTAGGTAGACGGGCCTCACGTGCCTTATTATGGACAGGAAAAAGTCTTGCCCACCTAAACTGTCCAAGCTTAAATCGAGAAAATTTTCTATCTGACATCTAAATTCTCTCATTTTCTTTCCTATTTAACACTTCGGTCACTTTAAAAGCTTTAACAGTGTTAAGTCTTAGACAAAAAGACCGTTTTATCCCCGTTGTTTATTTCCACTCGATGTTCCTTTTGTTGGGTATTGCCATTGGTTTTTGTATTTTTATATTTTTTGAAATAAAAACACTTAAAACTAAAAAAATATAGATCTCATCGAAAGATACAACTTTCATATATAAGTATCTTTATCTAACACAATATAAGAAATGATATGTTTTTTCCAAGAAGACAAGCCCGAATGAATATTAATATGCTGCTGAAAATTTATATTATTTTTTAAGCATCTTAATGATCTCAAATAAAAATCTATCTCTATATCTATACCTAATAATAAAGAGGTAAAATTTCAGCCTCTTTTTTTAGTCCGTTCATTTTTTGGTCTGTCTCTCTCTAACTATCGGACAATGGAGAACTTCTTCCGTCCAGACTTATATATATATATATGTGTGGAGTATATTCAGTAGCCAGCTATAAAATACGTTATTTTATAGCCACCTCTATTTACGATAATTTTATATATTAATTTACGATAATGTCAATACATATTTACGATAGTTGGGTTACTATAACACATGGGGATATTTACCATAACACTATAGTAAACCACTTAGTAAGGAGTTACTATAATATCGTAAATTAATATAGTAATTATCGCAACTCAAAGTGGCTACAAAATAAGTTATTTTGTAGCCAGCTATAGAGTAGTAGTTCTATATATATATATATATATATATATATATATATATATATATATATATATATATATATATATATATATATATATATATACCGTGCTCATATGAGTTACAACAATATATCTTGTCTAGCGCGATACAGAGTCCAATTCCAAAACGTATTGAGTCATGTGTGATCCAGACTCATCATTTTCTAAAAAAACTAAGCAAATTTCCAATACGATTCATAATATATATATATATATATATATATATATGACGAGGCTAAAATGCACCTGGGTGCATTCTGTATAGCAAATGCACCCAGTCGTGAGACGCGCGGAGCGTGGCGAGCGCGAGTTGTACCGGCGCGGAGTTCGACCCGGTTGACCCGCACGCTTGTATATCCCGAGACCCCGCGCGCCTGTACAGCCCCGGCGCCGCTCCTCAGCCGCAACTCATCCCTTCAACTGATTGCAACTTTCGTCGTACACAAATTGCAACCTTAGTGGTAGGCCAGTTGCATTCCGGTTGAGTAAGCCGATTGTAATCGCCTGGACGGTTGGTTACACTCGCTTGTATACCGCCCAACTCAGTCAATCGACCAATTGCATCTTCAGTCGTACACAAATTGCAACTCATCCATTCAACCGATTGCAACTTCTGTCGTACACAAATTGCAACCTTGGTGATAGGCCAGTTGCATTCTGGTTGGGTCGGCCAGTTGCAACTGTCCTGGACGGCTAGTTGCAGCTTCGTTTGTATACAAGTTCCAACTCAGCCCGTCAGCCGATTGCATCTTCAGTTGTACATAAATTGCAACTCATCCCTTCAACCGATTGCAACTTCCGTCGTACACAAATTGCAACTCGTTTGTACGCTCACTGTGTGCTTGCCTCACTGTCTGGTGGGGCGGTGTTGGCGTGGGAGAGGATAGAGGTGTGTGGCCCGCGTCTGATTAGTGGGTTAGTTGGGCCGGTTGCCCAGACAAAGCACGCCGATTGCCCTGGGTGCATTCTGTACACAGATTACACCCAGGTGCATTATAGCAAATATATATATATATATATATATATAAAAACCAGGAGAGAACCAACGAGACAAAACAAAAAAAATCAAGCACTTATCCGTCCGGGGTCTACACGATCAGATCGATTCTTCGACTCCAATATAAAATGTCAACAGAAAAACACATCATCAGGAGAAGCATAATCTTCCAGCAAGGAACTGCTAAAACAATAGCAGAAAAAGGTACATCCACGGTGGTAAGTGAATTCTGAAAAAAAGGACTCTTCAAGTTTCAATACATTGTAATACGCTATACATATAAATAGTTATTTGTCATGCAAAATATGATTTTCATTATAGGAATATATATATTTTCTTTTCACAATATCCTATTTTATTTTGCCAGCAAGTCAAATCCGACTCTTAGATTTCTTATTAAGTCAGCTACTTCCGTACTTCTTCACTCCCATCGTCCCTTCTTCAGGCAAAACATAATGTGGACAAAAAAAGAACACAAAGAAGAGGTGAACTGATCGTGAAAAAAACATACGTGCAAAAAAAAACAGAGGAAAGAAAAAAAAGAAACCGGGATGGACATGATACCACGACTCGATGGATGGAAAACCAACGAAAAAAAACAGGACAGGTGTTTTGTGTTTGGATCCATGAAAAATAAATTTGAAACTCGGTAAGAAAAACAAAAGAGACCTGTAAACTCTTTGTGGTTTTTATATTAGGATAAGACATAAGATTAGGGTAAATTCTATTCTTCTCCTTATTTATTTGGATTTAAATTTGGATTAGGATCCATATAGATATTAGGATCCATATAGATTAAAGTCATGATATATTACGAGTAAATATTTTTGTGTCTTACAATCGAAAAAAATCAAGGTTCAACTGCCTCTATTCTAAGTTGTAAATCGTTCTGGCTTTTCAATATATATACTTTTTACTATGTATTTAGACATAATGTT